CTTAGCTCCGCCCGCGGCAGTGAGCGCGCCGAGGCGCGGTGGCGGGAGGCGGCGGAGGCGGAGCTGGATGGAGAGCCAATCAGGTGCCAGGACGAAGCGCTTAGGTGACAATCCCTGCCTCCGACCGGGTGGGGTCCTGACGTAGGGTGGAGAGAGGAGGGTATATGCAAAATGTGACGTTTTGATAATTCAGCTTCCCGATTGGCTGAAGCTTTAGTCTTGTAGGCTGACAATTAGAGAGCTGGTTGGTGACTTGGCTAAAGAGGTCTCGCTGGAGGGGGTGGGTGGGTGGCTCTCATTTGGGCGCATGCGCAGGCTGCACGTGTGTCTGCTCGCCCCGAATGAACTGTGGCCTGGTAGTCCTTTGAACTTTGCCTAAATGGAAAGGTTCCGTGGAGCCAGCTGTGTTAAAGATTATTCTTCGCACTTCGCTCGCCTCTCTATTACTTTCCCTTTTAAGGGATGATCATTGCGAAAGTGAGAGGAGCAATGGGCTTGGTTTAGATACTGTAAACGAAGATCTTTAATAAGATAGGAGGAGGCTGATTTATCTCAGCGCCACTATCTGCTAGCTGTGGCTACCAAACTCAAATAAGAGTGACCTTCAAGTTCCTCAACGTTAAACTTGGGTTCCTAGATTTTGAAGGATTTGTAGAGTGCACCTCTTAACTGCCCAGCAATGAGAGCTACATGAATTTCTTAACTAATTTGAATAATCGCTCCAGCCTTGGCTTGAGATGGCTGGTGATTACGGTTTTTCCTTTAACTTCTAACCCTAATAAAAGGAATGGGTGACCTATTAAAGGAGTGGGATCGGAATGCCCACACGAAGCCTACTTTTACCTTTGTAGTAACTTTGTGGCCTTAGGAATACAGTCTTTGTATAAGAAAAGGTACACGTAAGGTGTTCAACTTTCCACTTCCTTTTTCTGAGGGCTGAGGAAATGACTCAGATGTGTAGTCTCATGGGGCGCATGGAGTCAGCCAGTAAATGGAGCACTTCAGTCTCCCTATTAAAGGTCGCCTTTTCACCACCCTTCCCCCATTGCTATTAAAGAATTACATCCCAAGCATGGCAAGGAAATAAACCGAGGACCTAGCCCTGCCCAGTGGCAACCTAAGGTACTAGTCCCCAATTGTAAATTGCCCTAACCACCCATGAGAGGAGCGCTGGAGGTGTACTTGGACTGCTGACCACAAAGTCAGCGGTTCGAAACCACTAGCCACTCTTCAGGAGAACGATAAGGCCGTCTGGTCGCGTAAAAATTTACAGTCTCGGAACCCCACAGTGGCAATTCCGCTCTGTCCAATAGAGTCACTATGAGTGAGAATCCGATCAGTGGCAATGAGATTTTCGTTTTCACCGCCCCTGGCTATCTCTGTCTGGGCCCCTAGGTAACTTCTGTGACGCCACATATCTGCTTGTGACACACACCCTGTTCAGTAGTCCTGTCAGCACTACTTCCCATGACATTTCTGATCAGGCTTCCTTGCTTCCATTATTTCCTCAACCAGGAAACATCAATTTTGCCATATTTAAGGCAATGTGCCTTATTCAAAGTTGAGTGATTAAAGATTCTTGCCTCCAACCCCCCAATAGTCTAGATGAGATGGTAAAGATGCAACCAACTGGAATGCAGACCTCCCTCTCTTGAGTCTCCATCAGATAGTCAGTATCTTGAAGGAATTAATGACCAGGGAGAATCCAGAGAAAGACCAGGGTTGCGAGTTGACCCAGCATAAGACCCAATCCCCTGTTGTGAAAACAACAGTCTCCAGCCCTTACCAGGTGCACCTCTTAAAACTCCCAGCCCCCATCTCCCACCGTCAAGCACTCCCCACCCCACCACCCCACTCGCATCTCTGAAATAGCCTCCATTACTCTCTTGAGAAAGATGGCTTCCCTTTTACCCTGCCACAGTCTTCGGGCTTTCCTCATCTTCAATGTGAAGCAGCCCTTCACTTGTCCTTGCTAGAATCCATGGCAAAGAAGCAGGACAAGATAGAAAAGTTGAATTGTAGCGAGGACCTAGACATTTTCCAGGTATTTCAGCCTGTCTTCAAAGGTTGCAAATACTGTCTGAACACGGATTTCTTTCTGATCCCTCTGTAATGGTACAATCCATACAAAAAACCAAAAAAAACCCATTTCATTCCCCCCCACCAAAACCTTGCTAAGCTCCAATATTCCATCAGCTCCAGGGTTGTCAAAGGGGAGTTGGGTCCAGCTCTTTTGTCCCAGGGTTCTTTTCTGCTGAGCTATTTGTTCCAAGTTCCATTCTGCCACCTAGGCTGAAAATTCCACTCATACTCAGCTCAAAGGAATGCTGTTCATGCTGGCCAGACAGCTCGCCAGGAAATGGGCGGCCGGAATCCTTTTCATTTGTGGCTGCCTCTCTGACATCTGTAGGGCAGAGTATGTGACTGCCTGGACTCTTGCCCACCTTTGCCAACTAGAGAGCAACTCTTTACAGGTCACCTCCTCTGAGGAGCCTCTTCTGACTAAAAGCCAGTTGGCTCCTGATCTCCAAAGGCCCAGAATCTTGGCACAGTTGGTATTGGATGCCTTCCTGGTGTTGCCATCATGATGTGTTTGCTGTCCATCCATTCACACCCCCCCCCCACACACACACGCATACATCTCATTTGATAAGTACCTAGGAGTCCTTGGTGGCACAAAGGGTTAAGTGCTCAGCTGTTCAAACCCACGAGGGATTTCAGAAGAAAGACCTGGTTGGTCATCTATTTCTGAAAGATCAGAGCTACAGAGCACGCTATACTGCAGTTCTGTCATGAAACACATGGTTTTACTGTGACTTAGACTCTTTAAGGTTGACGGCAACAATTTTTTCCCCCTTTGTATGAGGCCCTGTGTTAGGAATTAAAAGATACAAAGGTAACCAAGCCAGATGTAGGTTCTACCCTTACAGAAGCTCGCTGGAGCTGGAAGTACACACTCAAGTATACACACAAGTATAGCATATTGAGAACACGAGGGTGGAAACACACATAACCTACAACACAGAAGTTTGATGTTTGTGAAATAAAGAACATCTGCACTAGGTTTAGTTCAACACCTCTTTCCCTGTTTAGAGGGAAATGGACAAACCCATGGACTAATGTTCCGATGGACTTCTCTGGCGGAACACATCATAATTCTTTTACACGCAACTAAGGATTCACGCTTCCTCCTCAACCTCCAGCCTCTCTTGCTCATCCCTGATCAGAGGTTGTGTCTCCAGGTACCAGCAGCTACCCAGGATTTTTGTTTTTGTTAGAAAGGTAGCAGAGGACATGGTTGAAAGCTGCCCCCCTCCTCCACCCCTGCCCCCCCACAATACACTAATTTGGCTCCACACACAGACCACCACTACCAAGGCTTGGAAAGGCGGGGACACTCATTCTACGCAGACTCCTCTTCCCACCATGGGTCTGGTTTGTCATTAGTTGAACCAACGAAGGTCTCACTATCTGGCACTTTTTTTGCCCTGTAAACACCAGCAGTTTCATAAGGTTCTGCTTAATATCTTTGTTTATGGAAGAAAGACCAGGCTTTCTACACCCATCATGAGTTAGAGTCACAGAAACCCACAGGGGATCACTGAAAGTCAGCCCTGACAATAGCAGTGAGAATACCTTTGATAAGAAAAACATTTCACAAATAATGAATTTGGGAACATGTGGGCATGTTTAAACTGTGATGCTGTTTAATGATGAGCAACCGAATTGAATAAATTTCATGGAATATTTGTGAATTGTACAAGGACTGTGTTTTTCTGGCATCTTTGATGATTCCTGAATCAATATTTTGTTTCAAATATAAGAACCCTTAAATATTGCATCTTGAGGCTTGCATTTTTTCTTCAGCTCTTTCCGCTTGGAAATCACGGAGCTGTCTGTCTTCC